ATCCGATTGTGTTGGGGATTTGGTGTATATAAGTCTGTAATATAACGATCTGAGACAAATTAGAAATAAAAAAAAAAAAAACAAAACAAAAAAAAAAAAAAAAAAAAAAAAAAAAGGTAAGAATTGAATTAAAAATGATTGACAAAACTAATTTAAGTATTTTTATGTGAGCGGGTTTAATTCACAGGTCCATTTCGATGGATTAAGTGGCATTTACATCAGAAGATTGAATTGAGAATATGTGAGTCTCACTAATGCTATAGAAAGCAGTAACACACAACTTTCACGTGTGCACCAAACGAAGGTCAGACAGAACTGGTTTATTGATACAAATCACAAGTAATATAAGCATGGTTACAAAATGATTGACAGTTAATTGAAAACAAGTTTAAAACAGGTTTATAAACAGGGTGTGTTTGTTCTAATTTCCTGTGACAACTAAAGTATCCTATAACATGTTGACACAAGGATTAATTAACTAATAGGTTAACAAAGACAAACCCTTGCTGTCTTTCTGCAAAATCAGGCTCTCTTAACCTGGAACACAATCTATTCTCCGAAAATACCTTGCTTTGTTATGTGAGCAAAAATGAAACAAATGTTACATAAAACTATTAAATTTCACCTTGTTACGTTTACACAAGTGAATATAATAAATTTAGCATAGAGTGCTAATTAAAATAGAAAACAATGGAATTTGCATGAAATTGTGCTATTTAGTATTACTAAAGTTTCACGGTTATTTTGTTTGCACTCTACTCATTGGCCTCAATTTATATCTTATGCTGCTATATTTACCTACAGGTGAATATAACATGCATGCATGTGCACCCTCGTTGGTTCATTTGTGCCGCTTGAAGAGATGAATAAAATTTGAAAAAAAAACTCTCCCTTATTCATTAAATTCACTTGTGTTAAAAATATTATAACAATGGTTTGCCTCAGGCTCAGTGAATATCAGAGAATAATTACTGATCTTATCAAAATCCATTGTTTTCAGTCTGCATTATCCCAACGAATGCATAGAGGAAAATCAGACATACTTAGTTCATTCATTATTGGCTTTGTTTCTATGATAAACAAGCTAGAAAGAAAACAATTGGATTTTGATAAGAACAATAATTATACTAGATAATCACTTCGGCACGCAGCATTTGTAGGTATAATGCAGGCAGCTGAGGGACCCTCAGCTGCCTGCATTATACCTACGAATGCTGCATGCCTCAGTAATTATCTATTAAATATTTTCCTTGCTGCTTGAAGACTTGCATCTTGGTAAACATTCCCCGATATTCACTTCACCTTCAGTGAATAAATTATTGTTAAATATTTACCTGTAGTACTGAAGGCTTTTCTCACAATTGTACAGCCAAACCTTTTCTGTAGCAGGTCAGAGAATCTTGCAGATAAATTTTTTATAGTCCAAGAAGCAATAAAAGGAAGAGCAGTTAAGACTCCATTCTGAAAACAGAATTATAGAACAATAAGTTTTGGCTGGTCTAATTTAGCACACAGCTACATGTAACTCACAGATCGAACCCTAAAACAACCTCTGAGCTGATCAATGTCAGGGCACGGCTAACTCACAGCTCAAACCCTGAAACAACCTATGGGCTGATCAAAGTCAGGGCACGGCTAACTCACAGATTGATCCCTGAAACAACCTATGGGCTGATCAAAGTCAG